CATGGCACTGTCTGCCAGGCAGTTTCCCATAGCTGGCAGCTGTGCTGACTTAAGAGGTGTCACAGATGTGTTCAGCTGCAGGGCCATGGATGAGTCTTGGCCCTCCCTGGGCCTTCATTTCTTGGTCTGTATAATGGGGACTTGGAGCAGAGGGAGCAGCTGGAACAGAAGGCTGGAAGGAAGGAACTCAGGGCGTGTGCAGACACGATGTCATTGCATTTGGCTGGAGGGCCAGCCGAGGGAAGGGAGCCTGGAATGTGGACAGAGCAGACAGGGACCTTGGGAGGCAGACCAAGGAATGTTTTTGATAGGCCGTGGGGGGCTCTGAAGGGCTCCTAGGGCGGAGTTACATTAGATCCCTAGGACTGCGGTCCAAGTTACCATAAACTGGGTGGCAACAACAGTTCCACTCTCTCCCAATTCTAGATACTAAAAGTCTGAAATTTAAGAGGCTGCTAGGGCTGTGCTCTCTCTGTACGCTCTGGGGAAGAATCCTTTGCCTCTTCCTAGGTGTGGTGGCTCCTGACAATCCTTGATGTTCTTGGCTTGCAGCTGCAAACTCCAGTCTCTGCCTCCATCTTCACATGGCCTCTTCCTTGTGCCTTTCTGGATTTATAACAATTCCAGTCACTGGGTTTAGGGTGGGCCTGAGTCCCTGGGTTTAGGGTGGGCCTGAGTCCCGGATGTTTTCATCTAACGATCTAATTAGATCTGCAAAAACACTATTTCCAAAGAAGGTCACCTTTTGAGGTTCCAGGTGAAAGTTTTTGGAGGGGTGCTATTCCACCCACAATTGTTGCAATGTTAACAGGAAGATAATGGGGATGGGGAAAGAGAGATTAGAGGCACTGATATGGACTGGAACAGTTGCCCCTAAGTGAATAGAACGGTGCCCCCTGCTGGGAGCCCCAAAGCCTTCAGTGGCTTCTTCTGTGCCCAGTGCAACCCCTGAGTGGGCTCCTAAACCAGGCCAGGGTCTTTGTTCATCCACATTTCAGCCTACTTCCAGGTGTTTTTCTGTTCCTTCCAGCTGGCAATATGGCAGGCAGGCTGGTACATTGTGGAGGACACAGCAACCAGGGAACTGGGAAATCGGGCTCTAGTCCTGACTCTGCCACTGACTGAACTTGGAATGCTGGAAATGAGGCTGACCAGGCCACATCTAGGGAAAATGACAACTTCATTCTTCATCCAGGAAAGTAGCTCAGCTCATAGCATTGACCAGGAAAGGAGGCTCTGAAGGTTTCTGGGCCCTTCCCCCACATCCCTGTGCAGAGACTTCAGCCCTCTTCCCTGAGCTCCCTTCCTCAGCCTCCAAACAAAGAAAACAGGAGCTTTTACCAAAGTTCGGAAATGCAGTACCCTCTGTCTAGGAAGGCATCTTTTGCTTATTTGGATGGAGGAAGAGGGGGCCAAGGTATAGCTCCTTTCTTAAGAAGACTTTTTTTTTTTTTAGAAAAAAAAGGGACAAACAACCTTCACATCCACATGTAAGGGCTTAGTGAGATGAAGTGTGGCAGAACTACACAATGGACCACTATTGCCACAGGATAATAAGAGAGATCACAAGGTACTGCAAGAAAGAGGAACCCCAATGCGGTGTCAAGCAAAGCACAGACTATACTGAGTATGTCCAGTAAAATCTCTTTTATGTTTAAAAAGTAGGTATCTCTTTTATGTTTAAAATCTATGCATGCATATGTGTACATATTTGTGCACGTGGCCCACTCACATTAATAGTGGAAAAGTGCAGCAACTAATGATAAGGATCCCTGGGGCTGGGATAACAGGGGATTTTCCCTTTATGCTTTATACAATTATGAGCTATTGAACTTTCTATTTTTTTTTTACAAGTGGTATTAGTTTAATCAGCCCAAACAATAAAACATATTCCCATTCTGAAAATAAAATAACTATTCTAGATAGATGCAAAGTCCTATTGGCCCGCAGAGAAAAGCAATCAGGATAAAAATTACTTTGCCCTAAAAACACACCGAAAAGAAAAAAAAAATACATAACTAGCTTGGGAAGGAGGAAACACCAGGTCTATGTTTTAAAGATGCGCGCCCACACCCCCAAATTCCCTCCATATGTAGCAAATCTCCACTTGCCACTTTCATCCTAGATCCTCTTCGATCCATCTTCTTTCTAGAAATGTTAATAGGAATGAGAAGACTGTTGATATTTATTGATATCCGTTGCTATTTATTGAGCATTTATTGTGTGCCAGGCACTTTGCACATATTCTTTTCTTTTGTCCTCATGACATCACTCTGAGGTAGGTATTATTACTATTCCCATTGGCAGATAAAGAAACTAAGATTCAGCTCAAGAATTCAGCCCAGGCAGCGTAACTCTAAGGCTGTGATTGTGACCATTTTTCTCTAAGCGTCCTTCCCAGATGTGTGGAGTTTTTGGTTTCCTCTCATGCTCTGGAAGAAGGTTCCAAGGTCTGCAATCTCTGTCCACCTCTTCTTGTCTTCACCAATTCTGGCCACTGCCTTCTAAGTTAAAACAGCTGGCCTACCTCTCCGGAGTCCAAAGCTAAATGTGATGCAGCCTCTGCCCTCTATCACCTCAAGGGGGAAAAAGACAGAAACTTCCACCTTCACATTCCACATCCAGCCAGAGAAAGT